GAAAACGATTCGAACGATTTGGCTTCCTTTTTTTTTTTTTCCAAATCGTGATCGATCCTCGATCCGAAGTTACATTAGTCACGTTACATTTTGGAATTGCGGGATACGCGAGGGTTCGAGGCCTGATTACCGTTAATTGCGGTTGATACGTAGCAGGGAGGGGGAGAGATACCATTTCGATCGGATTAACGGGCGGAGGCGATCGGGAGCGGATGCACGGTATATGTACACGCCGTTTCCAAATCGATATAATTATAACTCGGCCCGGTTTTCCTTCGTTCCTCGTGGAAAACAGCCGCTCGATCGTTTCCCCGACACGTTCTCGGGGCGGAGGATATCCGTTGCAACGCGGGCGTGCACGTGCAATTTGTAGCTTCGCACGGCATCGCTACAGAGGGAATTCGTCTAGTTCGTACGTTCAACAAGTATCCATCCCTCCTCCACCTTCGGCAGTTCTACTTCCTACCCCCTCCTCCCCCTCGTGTCTCCGGTTAGACGGCAAAATCTGGTCTCGACCGATATCCCTCCTTATTTTTCGCCTCGCGAGGATCGAAAAAGGGGGGAGAGGAGGAGGAGGAGGAGAAGGAGAGAAACCTTTGGTAGCAGGTGCGCCGCGTATGTAACGCACTTTTTCCCCGTTATTACGGCGCGTAATAAGGGATTAGTCGTCGTGGTTGATCGTCGATCAACGTTAAGTCTCCTCTCCTCGCGACACGTCAAAGTTGGATACGTCGTATTGACGTATCGACGATCCTTGTCCACGATCCAAGGCCAATTAACCGGCATCCCCTCGACGTTTCTCGACTCGGCAAATCTCGACTCGATTTACCACCCTTACTCCTCTCCTCTCCAATACCAGAGAGATCGGAAATATTGGCCAAACTTAATCTAATCGACGATTAGACGTTGAGACGAGAAGAAGAAGAAGAAGAGAAGAGAGGGAAAAATTTTAAAGATTTTTTAAAAGATACGATCGATCCACCCATCCATCCATCCCTTCTATTTCTCCCTTTCTTCGAATCTCGAAACTTTCGACTCTCTTAGAATACACCAAGAGTAGATTTCTCCCCTCCCTTCTCTCCCTACCGTCGAGAGTTTCCGGTATCTCGTTACAAATCGAATTTTAGTCACGTCAAAAGTAAACGATCCGGCTAGATCCGCGCGTTAAGCGATCGGGTCGCGAGGTGAGCCGGTGTTTCGAGCCGGATGGAAATCTCATTTGGTAGTTTTCCCCGTTTAATAAGACGGGTGTAGGAGGAGGAGGAAGAAGAAGAAGAAGAAGAGGAGGTAGACGTGGGTAGCGTAGGGAGAGAGACGAGGAGCCACGAGGTCGCTTGCCGAGGTTCGCAGACTTGGGAAAGGGGAAACGGAAAGGGCGCAACAAGGCAGGGGGGGCGGAGGTAGCGGGGGCGTCCGGGCGAGAGGAGGGCGAGAGGAAGAGGATGGGGCGGCGGAGGTGGCGAAGGGGGTGGGCGGTGGATGGTTGGAGGTAAGCAGGGGTGGGTAACGGGCCGGGGAGGGCGGCGGAGGGTCGGCCAGGACTGGGAGGCGAAGTGTCGTCGTCCGAATAACGGCCAAGCGGCATCGACCGATCTTCCTACCCCCCCCGAAGCGCTCGTACGAAGCGTCAACTTGTTTCCCTTCTGTTCCGCGAATATCGGGCCTTCAATTTGCCCCGGTTGCGCGGCTCGCTTACGCGATGCACTGCCCTTTACGCGTAATCCATACACGGCTCCGTCACTTGTCCCATCGATATTCTTCCCGTCCTCGTCTCCTCCCCCCTCTCACTCCTTTTCCATTCTCCGTTTCCGCTCTTCTTGTCGTTCGTCTGACTTTACGGGAAGGGAGGAGAGAAAGAGAGAGGATAAAAGGTACTTTGGATTTTTTTTTTTCCTCTCTTCTTCTTTTCCACGATATTCTTTTCTATCGTTATGGAGGGATAGATACGTTTTTGAATTTTCGAATTTTTTCGAAAGGTATGTTGTTGATGGAAGAGTTACGATGAAGTGTTAGGAGAGGAGTTTAATATACGATGAAGATATTCTTTTCGTTTTCTCCATTTGTTCGTTTTTTGGGGATGGAGAGAGATACGTATTTTCAGGATAATCGAAATGATAGTTTCGAAGCGAGGAGGCAAAGACGAGTAACGATATTCTTTTCATTTTCCAGTTCGTTGAAAGTATATACGACGATACATCTTTCCAAAGTTTCGAATTCGTTAGATGAATGTCTTGTTAATTTTTTTCCACACGTATCACGCATATTTACAAGAACAATGACGTATTAATTATCATTCGAAGCGAGAATTTTCGAATCAAACTTTCATATGTCGATGCATAATTAAAAAATTACAAAATATATAGGATATTCTCATAATTCTATAACCAAGTCCAATGAAAAGGTATATATCTGTATATTTTATGGGATAATGGATAAAGTATTATATGATATAAAAACGATATTCTTTTCCCTTTTGTCATTTGGAAATAATAAGCAAAGTTTCGAATTTGTTAGATCTCGTTCCACGCAATCAACGTATCTTAAAGATAATCGATGGAAAATTACAAAAGAGGGTATATACATTTTCATTCTAATTTTCTCAATCCAATTTCTGAATCCATTGTTTCCACGTTAATCAACGCGATATCCGTGAAAACGTGTATATATATTTTCAGGATCCAAGAATATAGAAGTGAAAGAGTCGAAACGAATCGAATATATCGATCATCTCGATCCCAATTTGTCATTAATCCAACTCTTCGTCTCGCGATAAGGATAGGACCGATGGAGAGCTACGAGGAGGACGACGACACCCATTTCTGCATCAAGTGTCACCTAACGATACACGGCCTCGAGAATTACGTGCGCCATCGTCAATCGGGATGCCGTCCACCTGACGACAAGAAC